TCTCCTACAATCTACTCCTAAGTTCACGACACAGTGAGGCCTTTATTATATTGAGGGCAGTGTCTCTACAATAGTTCTACATTCTATGATAACACATTTCTAAACTCTAAAATAAGCTAAACACTCCTACACCAGTGGTCATAAGAATTTGCATATTAATGATCATAAACTGACCTCACGGTGCACTGTTCATTTAGAGACAGTGAGGGGACCATCCTACCCTTTCTTTAAAAAGAACCTTAGAGCTGTTCATTTGATTTCTAAACCTAAGTTCCTTGTAAATGTATTTAAGAAGTGTGAGGGACCCCTGGTTAGGGAGGAAATAAGCAGGGATTAAGAAATGTGGGTCCTAGTGTTGCTACTGAGTGACTGTAACATTAAGTCTAATGGCACTGTGATTTAAGCATTAGAGTAGCTCACTATCTTTGACCAAGAGCATTCAGGGATAAATGACCTGTTCCAAACTTTAGTGGAACAGCACCTGCAGGACTGTCCCGGCGAGCATAGACATTCACTGTGTATGCTTTCGCTTCCCTGCAAGTAAAACAAACGCAGTGAAACTTGCTGCTCTGTGTGTCTCACTTCTCTTTTCTCTTCACAAAGATCTGTAACAGCAGCAGAAAAATGGCTGTATATAACAGGCTTTGCGCTTTGCTGCACACACACTACAGAAGTCATGTACCACACACAGATGACATCGCTAAATTACACAACTGCTGATGTGCAACCAACAACTAACTGCTTCTGTTTCCTCCTATTAAAATGTCACTATTCAAATTGAGGCGTTAACAGCAGACTCAAATTGTGGTGTAATAAAGAGGAAACTATTCAACAGAGACACAAACCACACATCAACAGTAAAAGACGAACATGGCCAGCAAATACAAGCGACTCGGCAAGTACATTTAAAAATAGCAATCTAGAAAATTAGTGTTAATTTAAGAGTAATAAGACTCAACACTCACTTTACCTTTGTTAGGTTTTAGCTTTCTTTGATCCTTTCCTCTCACTGCTTTCCTTTGTTTTTACAATAGTTGATGTTTTTCTGTAGTTTTTATTGTACAATATGATCTAAACACACGAGTAAAACAACCAGCGTAAACATTAACCGTCAAATGTTTAAAAAAAAAACCTCGATGGCAGCACTTTGTAGATGACATGAGGAGGAAATGTGATTTCAACACTTTTGACAGAAGTGACTTTGTTTTCACAATCAACATGTAGAGAGAGCAAGTACAAACCTTTGTAGCTTCTCTTATCACTGGCAGATTAATGTTTATATGATCAGATCGACTTTTCTGACGAGGAGACATGTTTAAAACTCAAAGTTTGATCTCTGGTGTCTTTTTAGTGACAGATGCAGCAGCTCCATTTCCTGAATCACCTTGTTGTACAATAAATGAAGTATATTTAATGAAGTCAGACAAAAATGTAACGTTGATACTGTGATTGTCTGTGAAAAACAAACTGTCAGTGGGAAGGCCACACGAGCCTCGCTCTCCTTGAACTTTGAATGTTTGAGAAACTTTACAGACTCACATCCAGATGTTTTCTTTTAAATAGAAAAATATGCAATATGATGTGTGGTGTGACCTGGGGCAGATATAGGGCCACCTCTACATCACAGCTAAGACAGTTAAAGATCTTAATATTCTTACGCGATTAACAATTATCAGAGTGCTAAAACACAACTTTTCTCCATTTCATAATAATAAAGCATTTTACTCTTAATTAAAGACAAATCAAAATATAAGTTTGATCAATACATAAATATTGTGTGAAAAAGTGACTTCTCCTAAACCTAATAACTGCTTGGGCCAGTTGGGATAACTGCCAGTGAGTCTTTCCCACCCAGGGACTCAAAGAAGGCTGGGTACCCTGAACTGCCACTCGGCGCATAAGTGCAGACGACGGTCAGGGCCCATTCCCGACCCGGAAGTGCCTTATCCTGGCCTGTTTTTCTGTACCTCCTAAATAAACCTTGGTGAGAACAAAATGTCTGGTGCTTGAGACGTTATGGAAATGTTACAATACAAAAAAATGGAAATCAGGAAGGAGGTCAAACACGTGTTCAAACTGCGGATGTGGCTTTACTGTGACTTAGTCCTCAGTCGCAAAATGTGATGAAATCAATGAAATTCTCTAGGCAAGGCAAGTTTATTTATATAGCACAATTCAACAACAAGGTGATTCAAAGTGCTTTACAGAGACATTAAAAACAAAAACAAATAAAAAGCATGATTTAGAATTGATTAAAACAAACAAACAAACAAAACAGGATATAAAATCAAAACAGATAAAATCAGAACAGTAGATAAAATCAGTAGTTAAAATGTAAGTTTTGAAATTTAAGCTTAAGTGCGGATTTGGTGTTTTATTCAAATGCAACTGAGAATAGGTGAGTCTTCAACCTGGATTTAAATAAACTGAGTGTTTCAGCTGATCTGAGGCTTTCTGGGAGTTTGTTCCAGATATAAGGAGCATAAAAGCTGAATGCAGCTTCTCCGTGTCTGGTTCTGACTCTGGGAACTGATAAAAAACCGGATCCAGATGACCTGAGGGATCTGGAAGATTCATACTGGGTCAGGAGCTCACTGATGTATTTTGGTCCTAAACCATTCAGAACTTTATATACCAGCATCAGAACTTTAAAGTCTATCCTCTGACGGACAGGCAGCCAGTGTAAAGACCTCAGAGCTGGACTGATGTGGTCCACTTTTTTGGTCTTAGTGAGGACTCGAGCAGCAGAGTTCTGAATGAGCTGTAGATGTTTCACTGATTTTTTTAGGTAGACCTGTAAAGATGCTGTTACAGTAATCAAGCCTACTAAAGATGAATGCATGGACTAGTTTTTCCAGGTCCTGTTGAGACATCAGATCTTTTATCCTTGATATAATCTTGAGGTGGTAAGCTGATTTTGTTATTGTCTTAATGGGTTTTTCTAAGTTTAGGTCTGCATCCATCACTACACCCACATTTCTCGCCTGGTTTGTGGTTTTTAGGTGTATAGATTGAAGTTCTCTGGTGACCTGTAATCGTTTTTCTTTGGCACCAAAGACTATTACCTTTGTTTTTGTTTAGCTGGAGAAAATTGTGGCACAACCAGTCATTAATTTCCTCAGTGCATTTACCAAGAGCCTGTACAGGGCCTCGGTCTCCTGGTGACATTGTGATATATATTTGTGTGTCATCTGCATAGCTGTGGTAGTTTATTTTGTTGTTCTTTATAATCTGTGCCAGTGGGAGCATGTAAATGTTAAACAGAGGGGGTCCCAAGATGGAACCTTGGGGAACTCCACATGTGATACTTGTCTGCTCAGATGTGAAGTTACCTATTGATACAAAGTATTTCCTGTTTTCTAAGTATGTTTTGAACCAGTTTAGTACAGTTCCTGAAAGACCTGCCCAGTTCTCCAGTCGTTTGAGTAATATGTTGTGGTGAACTGTATCAAATGCTGCACTGAGATCCAGTAAAATAAGACTGACATTTTTCCACTGTCTGTATTAAGACTAATTTCTTTAAACAGAGTCAGAGGAACCACAAAAGAAAGAGATAAAAGAGAAACCAGACCTAAGGATGGTGCTTCTTGGAACAACTGGATCTGGAAAAAGTGCATCGGGAAACACCATCTTAGGAAGAGAGGATGCTTTTGAATCTAAACTATCTCCGAAATCGGTAACTTCAGAGTGTCAGAAGGAAATGGAAGAGTTTGAAGGTCAAAAACTGGCTGTGGTCGACACTCCAGGTGTTTTTGATAATGTTCAAACTGAAGAGGAGATAAAGACAGAGATAAGGAGATCCATCTTCTTTGCTGCTCCTGGTCCTCATGTGTTCCTGGTTGTGATCCGTGTGGACAGATTCACAGAGAAAGAACGAGAAACAGTGAGAATCCTTCAGCAGATGTTTGGAGTCCACTTAGCAGGATACACCATGGCCTTGTTCACACATGGAGATGACCTGGAGTGTGGGGGAGTCACTATAGGAAATTTCATCAGGGAAGATCCAGATCTTCATGACTTTATCCGTCAGTGTGGTGGAGGGTATCATGTTTTTAAAAACAACCCTAACCCTAACAACAACCCTAACAACAACCCTAACCCTAGCAACATAAGCAGAGATCGCTCTCAGGTCAGAGAGCTGCTGGAGAAGATCAACACCATGGTTCAGAGAAACGGAGGAAGCTGCTATATAAACGAGATGTTCAGACAGGCTGAGGAGGCCATGAGAAAAGCAGAAGCAGACCTCAGGATTGTTGTTGTTGGGAAAACTGGAGCTGGGAAGAGTTCATCAGGAAACACCATCCTGGGAGGAAAAGCCTTTAAAACCGCATCAGCTTCATCTCCTGCCTCAGTGACATCAGAGTGTCAGCAGGAAGCAGCTCTATTTGATTTTCAGACCCTGGCTGTAGTTGATACTCCAGGCCTGTTTCACACTGTGTTCACCTTAGGCCAGGTGAACATGGAGATCAACAAATGCATTTCATTGGCTGCTCCTGGTCCTCATGTGTTCCTGGTTGTGATCCAGCCAAACATATTTATAGATGAAGAAGGAGAAACAGTGAGAATCCTCCAGGAGGTGTTTGGGGACGAAGCAGCTCGTTACACCATGGCGTTGTTCACACATGTAGATGATCTGAATGTCTCCATAGAAGAATTCATCATGAAAACTCCAGCTCTCCGTGACTTAGTCCGTCAGTGTGAAGGAGGATATCATGTTTTTAACAACAGAAGCAGAGATCCTGCTCAGGTCAGAGAGCTGCTCGAGAAGGTCAACATAATGGTTCAGGGAAACGGAGGAAGCTGCTACACCAACCGGATGTTGGAGAAGGCAGAGAATGCTATAACCAAAGAGATGGAGCAACGTCAGAAGAAAAGGCCTGGGCTAATGGCCACTGAAGCAAGATATGAAGCAAAAAGAAACAACGAGTTTATTCGGGGCAGCTGGGTTGGTGCTGTTGCTGGAGCTGTTGCTGGAGCTGCTGCTGGAGTCGGTGCTGGAGTCGGTACTGCGATTGGCACCGAGCTTACTCTTGGAGTTATCGTGGGAGCTGCAGCCGGTCCAGTGGGACTGTTGGTGGGAGCTGGACTGGGTCTGGCAGCAGGAGCTGCAGTGGGAGCTGGATTGGGTCGTACTACTGCTGCTAAAGTCAGGAAGCAGGCGTGTATTACACAGTGATGAATAATCACTCAGCAGCAGCTCGTTCAAGTCACACCATTAACACAATATTCACAAGTCTTTATCAGTATGATCATTTTTATTATCCTATTTGATTTTCATTGGATTGAATTAAAACTAATTAATATTTTTTTTCCTTTTTTCACAAATAGTACATAATTACATAACATAATAAAGTGTACAATTCAGAACCGAAAATAAATAAATAAATAACAAACAAAAACGAATAAAACAAACAAACAAACAGACTGATAACTAAGCACAAAACACCAGCTCAGGTCCATCTAAACAATAAAAATAAATAAATAAAGAGAGAATACAGTACAATACCTGTGGTCCCAGTAGTATGTTGCAGTTTGAACACTCAAGAGAATCCTTGTAACATAATATTAGAGACATCAGATTCCACATAATTCAATTATGGTTCCCACACCTTAAAGAATTGGTCTGTTTTTGAGTGCAGTACACATGTAAGATATTCCAATGGCACTAGATCCAACACTACTCTTTGCCAACCTTTAATAGTTGGTGCTTTTTCATGAATCCATTGGAGTAGTATATTCTTCCTCGCCGCATAGGTGAGAACACAGTACAATCTCCTATTATTCTTGGATATTAACCGCCGGCTGGGGAGGCCCAGTATGAGAGACAGAGGGTCCATCTCCAATTCACAACCGAAAATCTTCTCCATTTCAGATAACACATTAGACCAATATTCTTGCAATTTCAAACATGACCAGAAGCTGTGTGTTAGGGTACCAATTTCTGTCTTGCATTTGATGCACATGGGTGAAAGGGTAGGATTATATTGATGTCTGCGAAATATGGATATATGCATTCTGTGTATGATTTTTAACTGTATTGCTTTGGTACGATTACAAACGGAGATTGATTTGGCATAACTCCAGACATCTTTCCACTCTTCATCATCAATTGCTATACCTAACTCCTTTTCCCATGTGCCTTTAAGCCTCTGTGACATCACTGAAGGTACAGAATATAAAGCCTTATAAAATATCTTCACAGGTACCTCTTTGTCTCTTAAAAATAATAATTTTTCAACAGGAGAGACTTCATGACTCTCACTAAAGTTAGTACTATGCAAGATATAATGCCTTATCTGTAAGTAACGGAAAAAAGTCTTGTTTGGGGAGAGAATATTTCTCAACCATTTGGTCGGAGAATAAGTCCCTCAGTCTGTGAATTCCTTTGTTCTTCCATTCCTTAAAACCTATATCAAACATCCCAGGTTGAAAGTCAAGATTATTCACAATAGGGGTAAACACAGATGTTAACTTCAACCTTCCCTCAATTCGACATACTGACCACCAGGCCTTAAGTGTATTAAGTGTGACTGGATTATCACAGCTCAATCTAATATCTTTAAAGTTCTTAAAGAACAGTAAGTCCCTTAATGGATATTTTGAAAGAGAAGTTTCAATCCCCAACCAGGTAGAGTGTAAATTATTTGTGACCCAGTCATGAATATAGCACATGTGAGTACACAATTGATGTGTTCTAATATTTGGTAAATCTAAACCCCCTACTGAACCTGGGAGCTGCAGTGTAGCCATCTTAAGTTTTGGTCTACGTTTACTTCAATTCTAATTCAATTCAATTCCATTTTATTTATATAGCGCCAAATCACAACAAAAGTCGCCTCAAGGCGCTTCATACTACTCCATGTAAAAGAGCTAACCCAGCCATTCAGATCCTTCATCACCCTATTTGAAAATATAACTGGAATCATTTGAAAAGGATGTAACAGTCGAGGCAAAATATTCATCTTAATCAAAGCTATACGTCCTAGCCAGGAAACGGGTAGGGAATTCCATCTCTCCAAATCCTGCTTTACCTTCTCGAACAGAGGGACAAAATTTGCTTTATACATTTGTTTAAATTTTGGAGTTATAAATATCCCTAAGTATACAAAACCTGTGGGGGACCATTTGAAGGGGAAAGAAA